CCGTCCCATTGGCTGCCGCAACACAGGACCGCGTACGTCTCGGCCAATCAGCGCCGAACAGCGTCGTTTGGAAACTTTTTTCCCAGGCTGGGCGCCGCCGGGCCACGCGGCGGTAGCTCTGGGCTGGAGCGGGCACCCGAGGCGCCGGCTGCTGGGCCTGGGAGGGCTGCTGTGGAGATGCTGCAGGCCGCTTCCTGGACACCCGGGAAATGGGTCTGGACTTGCAGGCCACGCACTTCGGGAAAACACACCAGCCTCTCTTTCACACCGATTGTATTTTTGCATTCTGGCGCTTTCTCCAAATCAGAAGGAAAGACAGATCCAGGCCCACTGAAGCTAGCGGTGACCTATGTCCTTGCTACTCCTTTACACTCAACATAGCTTCAACATCATTTTCTTCTTCAAAGGCAGACGAACTTAGTGTACACGAATTTGGTTTTAAAGTCTGGCTGAATCCTAGCCGTACCCCTTACTAGTTGTGTGACCTTGGGCAAGTTACTTCATCTCTTTGTGACTCAGTTTCCTCATCTATAAAATGGGATGATCTAAGGACTAAATGAGTTTAGCATTTGTAAAACATTAAGACAGTGCTTTGAACATAGTAAGCACAATATACATATGTGTTAAATCGGTGATTTTTTTTTTAATGTTGTGCGTCGGGCACAATTCTCACAGCAACCCTAATTGCCTCTTAGGTACAAGGCACTCTTACAGCACAGTGAATGTCAGGCAAGGTAACTGTCCTCAAAGGATTTACATTGTTAAGGCAGAAACATACTAAACTCTCCAGCAGAAAAGGTAAAATAATCTCAGATGTTAAGTTCTGTGAATAAAGTACGCTCATGTAATAGGGGCTGAGGAAGAGGCTACTTCAGACAATGGTGGTCAAGGAAGGCCATTCTAAAGAGGTGACAGTGGAGCTGAGCCCAGATGATGAGAACCACAGGAAAGCAATTTTATTACGCTCATTCTAAAGATAGGAAAACAAAGGTGCAGGAAGTTAAATGAGTTGCCCAAGGTCTTAACAATTAGTAAATAACAAATCAGGCTTCAAAGCTGACTCTGCCTACTACACCCACATTCTTCAGCGTTTTGCTATAGGTGAAGAGATCTTAGGCGGCCTGCCTCCCTGCAGTGGTTAGAACAGCCTTTTTCTAATGCTACTTTGTTTTGATTCCTTGCTAATTTCTAAAACAAAACAAAAAAGCCGAGAGACACACAAAGGAACTCCCCCGTGCCTCCCTCCCTTCGGGATGTGTTTGGGGCAGTCTCCTCCTCTCCTTTTTGCGACAAGGGCAAAAGGGGCCGCAGGAAAGGGGGTGGCGGGGTAGAAAGGGCGAAAAAAGAAACATCAACAGAGTTAACAGAGTTAAGGAAAATACCAAAATGACTTTCAGGAAACTTCTATTCTGTTTCCAAGTGCTAATAAATCATTAGCACTTTACATAGTCTGATGCTTTCACTCTAGCATTTTATTTGACCCTCACAACTCTGTGAGGTTTCTTGGCCAGAGTAATCACCTCAGTTTACAGATCATCTGAAACACACACTCATGAGGTACTGTTCCTAAATGGCATTGATCAAGTCACTTAAACTAGATGGTTCTCAATTTCCCAAATTTTCCATAAAGAAAGGAGGAAGGGCATTGAAATGATCGTCAAAGTCTTATTCAGGAACAAAAGTTTAGGAAAATGCGTTTATCATTGGGTAAAACCTTAAAAATTAAAGGCAAATTTTGGTGTACTTTAAAACATTTTCCTCTCTTTTAAAATTCAATTTATTTTCCTTGTTAGCTTTGGGAGATGACTTATGACTGAGCAGAGAACTTGATTTCTCTTCCTTAGTTTCTTCCATCATAGTTTATTAATTCCAAACACTAAACCTAACACAGTAGCAGCTTGGTTGGTTGAGGAGCTGAATCAAATGTAAAGTAGCTACTCAAATCGCACAAACAAAATCTTCATTCTGGTTTCACAAATGTGACTATTATAATTTGGACAAGGAAAAAACTGACAGTAACTTTTACTCTGATAAAAGAGTTTTTCCAGCAAAGAACTAGGAAAACCATTAACAGAGGCTACTGAAGAAAATATATTTCTTTTTTTTTTTTTTTGAGTTGGAGTCTCACTCTGTCGCCCAGACTGGAGTGCAGTGGCCACTCCCGGCCACCGCAGCCTCAACCTGCTGGGCTCCAGCGATCCTTCCGCCTCAGCCTTCCGCGCGCTCTACCACACCCGGCTAATTTTTTTATTTATTGTAAAGATGAGGTCTCGCCTGCCCAGGCGGGTCTCGAACCTGCGGACTCAGGCAATCCACTCACCTCAGCCTCCCAAAGGCGCGGGATTGCAGGCTGAGCCACCGAGCCCGGCTGAAAATATATCTTCTTAAGAGAAAATTCAAAGTACTCTTTTATAAATATCGTTTATTTTGATTCGTGATTTTCTCTTTCTAAGGGCTGGTACACTTTTCTTAGGGAAGTTTTCCATAGAAAGCAATAAAATCGCATTTCTTTGTAAAAGTATTTGTAATTGAGACTTTTATTAGCCTTCCATTTAGTACCACTGGCTCGTTTTGAATCACTGCATTTACCTGAGACTAGGCACAGCTCCCGACTTGAAAGAATGCTAAGCAAAGTCAAACAAAATGTGTCTATTCTCTTTTATGTTTTATGGCTAAAACCTTTTCATAAAAGCAATTAGAAACCCATCATTATTTTATTTCCTTTTAAATATTTTTAGTTAATATGGTTTGTAGTCAGAGATATTCAACTAGAATAAAGGAGGGAAAAAAACCTATAAAGAGTAGGATATTTGTATGGTACTTGGAAAAAAACAAAACGTTGGAAATAGGGTTTTCATCTGCTGTAATCTCCACTTGGAAAATACTACCCACACTAGACACAATTAAGATTTACACCAGCAATAATACATACCTAAGCAGGCAGATGGTGAGTGCTTGTTATCTGCCTTCTCGAAAATTCAATACAGACACAAAGGATTCTTCAGTTACATGTCTTATCTTGTTCTCTGCAATACCTGTCTTCAGGGATGCCTACAGGGTTGTATTACTCCCCACTTAATTCAAATTGCTTAATGAAATCACCTCATAGTGGAGACTTGGCAGGGAGAATGTTCTCATTTGGCAATTTCTATTTACTGATTCTCTAGTAAAGTTAATTTGTTTCTTAGCAAACTTTATAAACAAACTTTTAAAGTAGCATTCAGGTAGCACATCCTAAATTGTGTCTAGATTTAGATAACATGTGCTTTGTTTTCTCCTAATTTGCAACAGAAAATAGTAAGCAGCTGATAGTTTCAGAAATCACCATTTTACTTAAAAATATTTTATTTCAGGCAAAAGTGAAGATTGTGAGGTGCTATTTAAAAAAAAAAAAGAAACATGGCATCTCTAGTCACCTGAAACACAAAGTGGTCTCTTTTTTGCTCAACCTGTCACTGGAAAAGTCGTGTTCATTTGTAACGAGCTCTGGACCAGGGCTTTTAAAAATGACATTTTCTTACTAAAGTAGCCAGGGATCTGCTAACTGTTGGTGGCAATCTCCAGCTGAATCCTTGCACACACTTTATTTTTGCCAGCTGGGTCATCACTTTACAGGAAGCCCAGTGGGCAGGGAGTTTTCCTCCACTTGCCACTAGGTTGCACTAGATTAAGGATGCTGTGGGATAAGCGCCAGCTCAATTTTAAAAATAAAGTAGAACCATCACGAGAGGGAACTAGAGAAGAAAAAAGCCGAAGCGATCAGCTTTTTCATCGAAATCCCGTTTAAATCGCCTTCCCTCCAAAGACCCTAAGAGCTGAATTGTATGAAATACGGTTGGCAGGTTTTTCCTCGGGTCCACCTTACAAGCTCCCTCATTCGCCACCTTGAGGTTCCTTTTGACTCCACCACGTGAGGCCAGGGGGAAGGCCTCCTTAAACTGGGGGTTTCTGCCAAAAAAGCCAGGGTCAGCCCCCGGGAAAGGCCCTATTTAGGGGTTTATCGGGAGGGGACTGAGCCTGA